TGATTATTTTAAGCAGGGCTCATAGAATGGGTTGGTAGGGCTGGTGACAACGTCATGCTGAAGAATCCCTTTGGCTGCGACCGCTGCGCAATAGCAGCCGGAATCGATTCGGCAGAAGAGGGTGGAAGGGGAGATTGATCCAGTTGAACGGTTGAACGTTGAAACCGTAGACGGAGCGCCGGGGATTGGGGATGATCCATTGCCACCGGAAGGCCATCCAGCACCACCCAGGCAGTTCGGGTGGAGAAAAACGTGGCAAAGACCGCAGTTCGCTCCGAAGACCTTCCTATGCTGGGGTGGTGCTGGGTGGCAGTATGTGATTGGCGTTTTTGCCATATACTTTTCTGGGTCATGGGTGACGGATAGCACATATCACTGTAGACTGGGATGCACTGAGTGTAGAGGGAATTCCAGCCTCTCTAGACATCTATACACTTGGATTGAGCCAGAAATACCCATTCACGGGAGGTTCTATATGATCTATATGGCTGGTGAGGAACTTCACCTCTTCCAGCAATGTTCCTTGATGACATGACCTCCTTTGTAGAGGAATATCTTCATTTTCGCTGGTCAACAATGTCAACAAGGTGCTTTGGTGCCATGACCCACAGCCATAGATAGGTGGAAATTGGCGCCTTGGGTCCGAACGTTGAGGTTGGAAGCTGCGCCATGCTTCACAGCAGCGCTCCTACAATAGCACTCGCCGCATTGGGACCTTTGGATGCAATCCTCAGAGGGGCTATGAGCCCACGACCTATCAGCGAGACTCAGCTGGAATTGTTCAGATTCGAAAGAAAACAAGTACTACCACGGACAATGAAGTGAGGGGACGAGCTGGTTCCAAGCATTGGTGATGTAAATGGTGTATTCCAATTCAATTCTTATCCACCTCGTGACGGGTCACTGGTAATTCCGTTTGACCGTTCCTTTCAGGAAGACTCACCCGACGGTCGTCTTCTGCGCTTTCTGACCCTGCAACCCGAAGCCACTCACGTGGCAGGTTCACCTCCCTCGGTCTGTTCATACTTGTTCATTTTGAGTGGTCAAGGTTTCATGTGTGTGTGTGTGTGATGTCAAGGCTTAATGTTGTTGATTTCAACCCTTCTGATTTCATGATCAAGTTTGAGGCATCATAATGCTGGACATACGCAGATTTACGCAGCCATGGGTTTAGCATTATATATATAAGATTATGTTGAGCCGCCGGTACCCTCTGACTCTAACATGGAAGGGAAAACCCCCTGTTTGTAGAGGAACATGATTTTCCCAGTGGCCATTGTCCACTTCCATATGTTAGTGAGTGGGCGTGTAGGTTTTCCAAGGCTTCCGTGTGGGGCCATTAGCCATCATATCCATCCCAAATGTGTGACGTTCACACTCAGGAGATCCTTGTTGGGGTCCTGTGCCCGACAAGCGTCACTGCAACAGCACGGAGCACACGAAGCACCTGCTTCGAATCACGATACGAGCCTGGCATGATCCGTATATCAAGGCATTGTGGGTAAGTCCAGGGGAAGATATTCCCTAGGGCTCCAACCATCTCCTCAGAAGGTGGTTAGACCCCCCAAATCCACCCCAACCATGTTCTCAGGAGGTGGTTGGAGCCCTAGGGATTGGCAATATGTGTTGCTGACATTCCAGTTTCCAGGTTCCTGGACTGCAAATCCAAGTTGTGCCGGACATTCATGGAAACCCTCCGAATCCGGTGTTCTTCAGCCATCTTCAGCAACTTGAGACCCATTCTCTGAATTTCTCTGAGACTGATACTCACCTCAGGTCCAGTCCGACCCAAACCTGGCCCAAACCCATCCAACTTTTGACCTGTTGGTTTAGGTTCCAGCTGAACATTGATAATTGAGTATAATGTTTTTGTGGTAGACCCTCCCTGAAACAATCATAGAAGTGGAATGCAGCCTGTTCGTAGAGGAAAACAGTCTTGCAAGGGGGCATGTTCCACTTCCATGTTTGTTGGATGGAGGCTAGGGTATGACCAACTCCAGTATTTTGGTTGGTTCCTGAGCTCTAAGGGATCTGACAAGGTCTGGAGTCTAGTGATTGGATCTGAATCCGACCCAAGGCGCGCCAGAGGACGTCCCAAAATACATCAAAGATGTCCCAGTTCCCCCCGGTTTTTGATCCGAATCCGAGTCCGCTGTGATGATCACTGTGACTGAATGTCCGGTGTCTCCTTTGACACTGGATGTTTGTTCCACACCGGGTGGCCACGTCCCTCCGCCGCGAGCGGCGCAGCCTGCGGAGCTCGGTCAGGCGGCGGAGCTCACGCACGGCACCTTTGACTTTGGCTTCAGCCCCAGTACGGAGCTGGTGGCGGGTTCCTTGCTGCTGAGCGCCTTGGCGGGTGACGGTAGGTGCAGCAATAGCCTAGCCGCGAAGGAGGACGGAAGAGAGGACGGTTTGGATGGTGAGTCGGGAGCGAACGGTGACGGAGCTGAAGTGGAGGTAAGGGGTGGATCAACAGCATAGAAGAAGCAGACTGTCAGGAATTTCAGACCATGAGGCTTTTGCTCATCAATTTGTTCGGCCATGGTGCTGGAAGATGCTGGAAGGAGCTTGTTGTTTGGGGTATGGAAGCATATGGAAGCCTCATTGAGTGCCTCATTGCTTCAATAAGGCTGGCCCTTACCAATTACACTCCCTGACAGAAACAATCGTGGAAGTGGATCGTAGGAACCTGGAAGACATTGGAAGACCTGTCCTCTACAAGGAGGCCCTGGTCAGCTTCCATGATTGCTTGAGGAGAGGTAATTACAGTACCCAGACACTCCATGGGACTGCCATATGTTTGCCGATCCATTGGGATGGTTTGGGGGGTCAATGCATGCACAAAACAACCGGTCCCATAAAGTGTTTGGGGTATGTGAACTGAAGGTGCGCATTGCTTTCTTTGACCTCACAGCCTCACATCCAGCCAAATCCTTGGGTCAACGGACGATATACAAATAGGCAACGGAATGGCTGTGTGAACACACGGCGTCGCGTTGGTTTTTCATGGTGTCCTCTTAGCAAATCTCGTTGTTTCACCTCTTCAAACCCTTCAAAGTGGACCACTCCTAACCTCTATCCGCTCGCTCCATCCGCTCGCACCAAGGTATGGGTGCCCTCGTCGTCTTGGTGCCCAACGTTCTTCGCAGCCGCTGCACCGAGAAGCGCTTGGGCCTGGACGTGCGGCGCTCCACCCCGCCGGCACGGACCTTTGGGAGGGCGTGAGGGTCAAAGCACAACTCGCCGAAGGCGAGGTGCGCAGACTTGTTGGGAGGCTGAGAATGTGTTAGAGAGGGAAGTGATGTACCCTAAGACTCCGGGCCCTTCACCTCCAAGTGGGAAGGCTGGGACATTGACGCCCAGAAGAAGGTGATAGGTCCGGACCCCTGCCATGGAGGGCCCAAGAATTCTTAGGGTAGTGGATCAAAACGGATCAAAGACATCCGTTTTCAACCGATTTCGATCCGTTCCTGTTGTTGATTGGGCTGATTTGGGGAGTCTCAAAAGTACTAGTTTTTGCCGGGACTCAAAAAGTGGACCCAAGCTTCACTACTGCTCACCAAGTTTGACCAGAAGACTCTGGAGTTTCTGTATGTTGCGATGATTTTCAGCTGAACATCCGCAGATCGACCACCGGAAAGCCACAACCAACTAATTAACAGACGCATAGAAAGTAGGAGTTTGCAAGTTTTTGTTGATCGGTGTTGTATTCCTCGAAGTATTGTATGATAAAACCAAAACATATTATCCACAAGTCAATGAGCTCATGAAATACAGGATTTGGTCAAACCACTACAATGTCACTGTCGGTAGAGACCTGGTTTTGCGAGCTCGGACGTCGGACTTGTAGGGTAATATGTACGTACCAGGACCATCCTGTCTGGGTGTCCTGGCTGGACTACCTAAACCCAACTAACACATACCAACACTTAGTATACCCTAGCAACACAGATGTCCAGATAGGACACCCAGACAGGACCTAGACAGGATGGTGCTGGTATATGAATTCTTTGCTCATTTGCTCGATGAGCTTGAGACTCACCCTTTGGCCGCCGGTCCGCTCTGTGCAGCTCGGCGCGGCGCGTTCTCTGGTTGGTTCGGCAGAAATCGGTTACATGGCAAGTGGCGGCCAAAGGCGGCCATGGCTTGGTAAGGCCTGATGGCAAGTGCCTTGGAAATACACACATGATTAAACGTGATCAAACATGTGAGGGTATCATAGGGTATCCCATGACCTGTAACAGCCGATGGCACCATGTATCACGAGTTTTACAGAAAAGCCCTTACTAACCACCATCATCCACTTGGGGCCTGGTAATAGGATCCCGATATACCCCCCCAAAAAAATATATACGTCTATACTTTAAGGGATTCATTTGATCTTCTCAAAAAGCCCGAACTGTAGATCAGATACCGCTGAAGGCAGCTCAGTTTCGCCAGATTGTCGGCATGGTCGCCACGGTCGCAGACCGGAAAGCGCTTGAAATCCAATTCCCGCAGCTGTGGCCCATATGCCCAAGGCATTGGTCACAGTCAGAGTGTGAGGATCAAAAGTGAGCGATTCCGGGTTCAAACCGCATGAGTGAGCCAATCCCTACTCCTTTGATACACATCATGAGGCTCCACATCACCACCCTACCTGGGCCCTACCCTTCTGTGGGGCGATATCAGCATTTGGAGGGGGAAGTGATGCACATATGGACATTTTACGCTTAACATCTCTTACAGTAACTTAGATGTGTCACTGTGTCCCAGGATATTCCACAGTGTGCCAGCCCTTTGTTTGTATTCACATGCAAGTGGATGGCACTCTCGGTTTTGTATTCGGAACATGGTCTTCCCATTGGCCATGTTCCACTTCCATGTGTCGCTAGTTGGTCCCTCACGAACCAAGCACTTCAGAACCTGCAGGTTCCCCCTCTTGCTCACCGCACTGGACGGTGAAAGCTTCGTCGTTTCGTCGGACCCCGGAGGGGGGTCGGTCGACTGGTGAACAGGTCGTGACGATGATGCTGGATGGATATCCACCCATTCTGGAAATCCAGGAGCTTCCGTGGCTTTTGGAGCGCATTTCCGGTGAGGGGAAAAGGACGCATGAAGTGGTTTCTTTAGGCCTCAGGAACTTCCGGGTTTGGTGCGTTCGCAAAAAAGGACTTTACTTCAAGTATTCCAACCTTCCTCCATGGTTCTTTACTGGTGTTGGTCATGAAAAAACTCAACTCAATGAGGTAAGGTCGACCAGGTTTGGACCTGGGTCTGATTGGACCTGTAGGGTTTCCTATGTGAGTGAATCTCCTGCCTGGATCTTCCGTTCGTGACCAAACTTGATCCCCTGGTTTAAGGTCATTTAGGCCTGTAAAGGTCGCTTGCTGACTGTGGTCGGGAAGATTGCATTGCTTAGGTTTTTCCCCTACTTCCTGGACTGCAAATTTAAGTCTTGGCCAAAACGCCACAATCCATAAGTTCCAATGATCATCAGGGTACTCAATATAAATCCATCAAGATTCCGAAGTTCATATCGATAGTGCTTCTTGAAAGTCTATTGTGTATCTTGATCCAGCTCCCACAGCATGTGGACATCTCTCAACCAAAAACATCACAGATCCGGGGCGGATCAGCACGATCTGCCAACAATCCAGTTGCAAAGTTGCTAGTAGGCAACAGGGCTTTAAGACAGGTCTATGATGCAAAGAAATAGCAGCCCCAGCAAACTTGCATAACAGAGTTCATTCATCATGGCAGCCCCCCCAAAGCTCGTTGAACAGGCCCCAATGCGTCAACCGATCGCATCAAATGAAATTCGTGCCATGTCATACCATTTTGCAGGAAACATCCGACATACCTACAAAGCCTTTTCTTGAGGGATTGGTTTCCCCACAAAACATGAACAGGTTGGTGCGTGCCGTTCTTGACCATGAGTGTCAGCGGTACTGTCGACAGACTGGATTGGTGGAACAGGTGGAAAGTTCTGTTCACGCAAACATACATCGCCACACACACACACACCATGGACTGGCCAGGGGTGGCTGTTTTGTTGGGGTCTTTCTGTGCGTCAAGATGCCTGTCCCATCGGTCGTGCCAGTACATTACATCCCCCACCTGGTTTTCTTTGAATTTTATCAAAACAAATCCACGTGCCACTTCGATTGGGAACTGACCACGAAACGGTGGCCTGATTCCGGACATGCCAGGACACCCATGAATGGAACAAGATGGAAGTAATATCGTCCCTAAGAAGACTGGGCCCTTCTCCAATGGGAAGGGTTTGGTTTGGCTCCAGACCCTGGCATTTCGGTGTCTTTGGTCCCATGACAATCCAGTGCAGGGCAGCATTCTTAGTATAATGTCCAATACATGAACCGTCATTGCTAAATGATGCTATAGATGCGCTTTCGTTTTCCAGGTTTTTGTTGGCGTCTCATCTACGGGTTGGTCTGAAACTCACCGACTCAGACCTGGTTCGACCGAGGTTCAAGACTGTCAAGACCGATTTTTCAGACTTTTGGTCAATTGATCGATTGGCCGACAGGGTTGGCCGTCAGTAAACCACTAAGTTAACTGGCCGAGTAACTGGTCAGTAAACCAGTAAACCAGTAAATAGATGTAAATAGTAAGCAATCATTACATATTCATATTTATATATATATATCGTATACTTGTTTTGAGATGTCAATGTCGGCCTGCAACTGAACTATCATCCACTGTGCCCTGGTATCTTGTTTCGTAACACCCCGCGCTTGGCCCTTGGCCCTTGGAACATCGGGGGAGCTGTGGTGAAAAAGCGCTCTCTGTGTGTGTGTGTGCCAAAGTCGTTCTTAGCTCTACATGTCTTCAGAGAATTGATGAGAAACTGAATGACTGCATGGACGAAACGCGCACAAGACTCATGTGACACCCATGGAGAAGAGCCCATATGATATGATAGCATGTTTGTGGAACATGGACCACCATTCATAACACCTATAGACTATAGAACTTCCTTTTTGGGCAGACATGTCTGCTTAGTATGGGTATGTATGGGTGACCCGAACCCGAACCCTTCCCATTGGCAACATGACATGAGCCCAGATTGTTTGGGGTATATAATATGACAAGTCGATGTGCGTTTTGTTGTCCCACGGCATCCACTCACCAAATGTTGGGAGTTCCAAACCTTCTGTCATTCCCACCCTTTTCTGAGCAAAATCTTTGTTTTGAAGGCCCGGACCACTTGACACGGTTTCATCCAGGACTTTCTGGCCACCTCTGAGAGAGTTTTCCTGGTGATCTTTTGCCTGGAGATGTGCATCTTGCAGCTCGGAGCAGACGTGAGAGAACATTCCCCACAGATGTTGAGGTCTCCAGGCTCGGTCTTTCAGTACCTTCGTTTCCCAGGTCTTTCAGGCTCGGATGTCATACCTTCGTTTCGGTGGGATGACTGTTTCATCCAGGATGCAGCGACCGTCAGTTACCTGTCCGGCATCGGTCGTTGTTGGGTCAATGACGTCTGAGCCGACGGGCACCCACGTCTTCAACAAGAAAACCAACAAAAACGAGTCCCGGTAACGGTCATTACCACAATTCTTGGCTGGTAACGGTCGTGACCCCTCTTCGAAGTCGGCATTTGGGATCAGCCTTCGGTTGTTTGTGGGAGTGGACGCCGCGTCCCGCATCAAGTGCCGCCAACCAGACGCGCCAACCAGACTGGTGGATGGACAGACGGGTGCGCACTCGTTTCGAATCATGCATCATAACCCTAGAAGTCCAGTGATATGACTCATTTTGCCCCTCAAAAAAGTGGACCATGAAACAAATGAGTCATCGGAAGGTTCTGGGTAAGACCTTCCTATTTAGTCCGGGTAAGTCATTCGGAAGTGGGAGTTTGGCTATCTGGGAGTCTGGGTAAGTCTATGTTCCGTGGATCCACTTCCACTATCACGTCCGTGATGCAGGAGTTTGGGCAGCCGTACAGCCGTTGTGGCGTTCACGCCGTGGGGGACGTTGTTGACTCAAGCTAGGCAGTGGAAATGTCCGGTGGATGCACAAAATAGATACCTTCAAAACAATGGCAGTGGACCATGTCTCTCTCTCTCTCTCTGTCTTTCTATTGGAGTTCCAGGATGTTTCAAGAGATCTATATCAGCCATCAGAGTACTCGAGACAGCAGACTTTCAGAGTAGATGGCATGCACGATCCCCTCCAGGAAAATTCCGATTCTGGATTCGACCATCTAGTGGGTCGCCAATGGAAATATGGTACGTACTACGTGATGGACCAGGCAACAGGACACCCAGACAGGATGATCCTGGTAGATTCGATCAGCACCCCATCCAACAGTCCTGGATGATCGTGAATGACTGTGGACAGGGGGCAACTCTGCAATCTTTTTGGGCCTTTACTGGTGTCAACGTTTTGTATAGATTGTATAGTTTAGATAGCACTTTAAATAGAGCCTACAAAGCAGTTGGCTTCACGGTCCATGCTGGCTTTGCATCATCATCCGTAGGCTACCTGCGGACTGGGAATCGGACAGCTGACCGCAGGAGGGGCCTTGGGACACCGAAGAGACGAGGTGAAAGGCCCGGTGGTTTCTTTTAGGGTTAAACCTCGCCTTCCCTGAAAAGATCCTCATTTTCTCACCCCCCTGCGCTCCCTCGGCCGCGATCCTGGTCGTAAGACCTGAAGCAGAACCTTCGACTCCTTCGGCCGAAGAAAACCGACCGTCGAAACCGTGCCGTGCCGTGCCTTTCTCTCTCTCTCTCTCAGGATCGGGGCCTTTGGGCCTTGTAGGCCAGGGGAGGGTCGGCCCAGCAGGGCCTCTGCCAGGGCCAGAGAAGCAGTAGGTACGTACGTATGTGGGTTGGCAATATGGGTTTAACTAACTATAAACATCGGGAAGCCTCCCAGTTCGACCTCCTCATTTGAAGGAAAATAGCAGCCGGCCAGGTTTGTCTTCCTAATTTCAATACAGACCCGTATGGCAACCTTTAAAGCATCAGAGGTCTTGTTTCTTTGTTGCTTAAACAAACGTTTCTTCTGCACCGCCTAATGTGGGCTGTGCCATCACACTTGGGAAATCTTAGCGCGCTATAACACGTGTACACATTGCATTCCATTGTTCTATTTCAAGAGCACTTCTACATGCACAGGACAAAAGGGAACCTGTAGAGAGGAGAAGATCCCTAGCGGCCACGGGCAGTGGCGGGACTCCAGTGGCGGGGCAGAAAATGGGGATCGCCTTAGGAATGTCCCAGATCCCAGGCAGCCACAGTATCCCAAGCATGACTAAATTTGGTACTACCCAGACGCTCCAAACAGCTCTTGGTAGCTCAAAACCCTAGGGATTTGAGACCCCAGACCCCTATGAGGGTCCGACCCCTCCATAGGGCCCATGAGCGTCTGGGTATTTTTTTTTCCATTGGAGTAGTTGAAGGGGTCAAAGTAGGTCAAGGTGCCAGTCCCATGGAGTGGCGGGTTCAAAATCTCAGGAGTTGCGCGCTATGGTGTGGTCAATGCTTTGGTGTGGTATGATCTTTGGAACCACCAGTTAGTACTAGTTCATGCAGCTAGAAGTGGAACAATTGGAACCACCATGTGTTTCTAATTGTTGGGTTTCCAGGCAAAGATGCTCCTCTCCACTGTAGGACAAGATTGTGAGGCAGGTCCGGTGTATGTTTATGCATGTTTATCCAGCCGCCAGCAGCCTCAAAACTGCTGTAGTAGACGTTGTCAACGAGTTGGTTTAAGGGAACATCTACAGGAAACCTAGATGTTCCCTCCAAGGGGTGTCCAATGGACTACCCCACACTACCTATAGGCTTCCAGACAGGGCACCCCTTGGAGGGTCCTGGTAGATGTTCCCTTAAAACCAGTCAATTCTGTGGACACTTGGCCCGGCCAGATATCTGCGAACCCCTGTGATGTGCTTTGATGGCGTGATCGTGGTGGCGTCCGTGGTTCAGGCGTGGGGGCCGTGGAAACCACATCCAGGGGCCGAGGATTGACAGGGGCACCCCTATCCACTGAGTTTGGCACACGGAACTACTGTCACTCAACCTGTATAGTTTGAATCTTCTAGTGTGCCAAACAGCTTTCTATTGCAAATTGTACTACAGTTCAAATACACTGCAGGCTATACTACTGCCACCATTCTTATCAACAATGCTACTGAAGCACTTCTAGTAGATTGGATGTACCTGTCAGGAATTGACTGTTCTGCAATGCGACTAAGGCTGTGGGGTGCGAGGTGGTTCTCTTCTTGGACACTCTGTCACGTGACCCCTTGGGTTCAACTTCCAAATGACCAGTTTCACCTTAAGAAACTTGCAAGCTCGACCAGAAAAGCGCTTAGATCATTCTGGGACATGTTTCCAACCAACTCAACCGCGCGCCCACATCACAAACAAAAAAGAACAAACGGACCCGGGCGGGTTGCCAAAATCTCCGCCATGCGCTGAAATTGTCAGCGACACTCAAGGCGCACAGTCAGCAGGCACATCAGCCAACGACCTCTGCTGCCAATTCCAGCTAGGTCTGAGCTGCAAACCAAAACTCCAGCAAACTTTGACCTGGACATGAAACGGATTGGTCGGACGACTGGTCGTGTTTGGTATTTGTTGTTGTTGTTTTGTGACCCAGAAAAGCTGATTCACACCCAAAGCCAGGTCGTCTCCCCCTTAAACCCCCAAAAGCTCCCGAAAGCTCCAACCCACATCTCCTCAAGTCAGGTGCTGTTGCGAACCGACCCCCACTTTAACCACCCACCCCAAGCACCTTCTCCTCCTCCTTGAGGGATGTGAGGGATGTCACCCCATCACCTTCACCCAGTCACCGCCTTCACCTCACCCCCTCGCCCTGGCAGGTGCTCACCTCACCAGATGGCCAGGGTGGCGCCATTGCGGCGCTGCGCACGCTGCGGCTCTTCCGGGCGGGGGGTGCCGAACCGGGGAACGGGCGGGCGTGGCCCGGGCGTCGAACCGGGGGGGGGTCGGAAAGTAGCTAGAAGTGGTGTGGTCGACGGGGGAACCGGTAGACATCGGTATAGACTCTTAGGACCCCGATCCAGATCATGGATTGAAGATCCTCCTGTCCATTGCCTCTGTAAAATGAGGGGGGTCCACCATCATCCTAAAACGGTTTTATGATCCCCCTCCTTGAGGGGGTCAGGGGGTCATTTTACAGAGAAAACGTGCATGCACAGGAGACATGTCAGATTTTGTATGCTTACCGCTGCCTCTTTCAATACCGCATGAAACAAATATCTAAAAATGATGCAAAATGAGAAGTTGGAATGACAAGCAAATTATATCTATCACCTGTGGGGGTTGGGAAGGCCGCTTTACATCTGTAATTTGACAGGGCCGACCCCCCCCTGGGAACTGACACGGGGATGATTGAAGTGATTGAAGAACCTCTTCATGGGTCCGGGTGGTGGGATTTTGTCCTTCTGGGCACATTTGCAAGAGAGGTGCATCGCTGTGCGGCGTACCCTGAGGTCCTGAACAAGCTCGCCAGCCGTTGGCCTTCCTTTCGAGTCCTACTGAAGGCAGCGGCGTTTGAACTGCCGCAGCTCGCGACCGAAAGAAGCTTCCTACTTCCCAGACACTCCACGTATGAACTATATAATTGCATGGACCCTGTATTTCAACATGTTTCAACCACACCGCAACTGATTGGCACGTCAGTCTGGAGTGTTTGTGCTTGACGATTAAAGACCAATGAGACCTTCCAGGAGTCGTGGTGGGTTCTCCCATGAAAGGAGGTTCTCCACGTTCTGCCTCAAGTACTGAGCGAATCGGTTGATCCCTTTTTGGCCTGGTCGAAATTATGGTGTTTGTTCATTTTGTCGGATACACCCAGACGCGACCCTGGGCCCTCATATGGAGGGGTCGGACCCAATATGGAGGGAACTGGGGTCTCAAATCCCTAGGGTTTTGACGTACCAAGAGCTGTTTCAGTAGTATAGATGTGGCTGTGCCAAGTCGTTTGGTCTGGTGTAAAGTCGTTTGGATGTTGTGTGTGTCCATGCAGCTTAGATGACTTAGATGCAAGATTTGGCAATACACTGTTTGACAAACTGAAGAGAATCAGTTCAAGACCATTTGCTGGATTGCATCAGGAACAACATATATGTAGGCTTACTGTATTTGGAGAAATAAGAACAGAACTTCTCAATCAATCTCAATCATACTTACATGACTCATACCACATACCGTCTGGCCGGTGTGCGAACTTCAGACCGGCCTTTGTGTGCCCACGTGCCGGAGTCTGCACATAGCTGTGGCTCCACAGTGCCGGTCGAATGGAATGGGATGGGGTCAAAACCATGTGGGCATGGAACACCATGTGGGCATGGAATATGGGCATGCGTACAGCTCACCCCACCATGTGTCACTCACCCGACCAGTCCACCATCTTTTGGACCCACAGCCATTCTTTTCAGATTTGTTCAACACTTCTTTTCCCCGTTTTGAGGCCGCAGCTGTCACGTCACCTGTCGCGTGTCATCGCCCGCGCGTCTTGGGATCTGGTGCAGTGTTTTATCAGGGATGCAATCCTCATGACACTGAACTTGTGTTTCAGTCCCCAAAAGCTACGAAATCCTGTTTTATGCGCACAGGCTATGGCACAAAGTTCTTGATGTACTTTCTGTACTACTTTGCAAAAAAAGGTGACTTCTCTGGAAAGCTGCGTTTTCATGCGGCTGGGTGACCTTACGCAACTTCACCCATGCGCTCGTATGAGAAATGTTACATGACTTGACCTCCTGTGTGGGGTTTTGTTCTGTGATGTCTGAAATCAGCTTCAGCTAAATTAACTCAATGGAAAACTTTGAAGCTCCCGTTTCCTTACAGTGTTCCTTGCATTTTGTTGTGGCTCGCACCCCCTGGGACCCCCCGTAGGGGTTTCCCTCTCCGCCGTTCCGGGCGCCGCCGGTCTTCCGATCGATCGCGCGTCAGGCGATGCTCTACACGGGGAAGTCCTTAAGCTATTGGATCGTACTGCCCGGGACCAAAGGAGGTCGCCACTTTGGGTGTTCAAACCTGGGGTGAAGGCAAGACCTCCAATCAAGACCTTGGGACTGGAAGATTGACCGACCTCTGAAACGAACTCACAATTCACATGCATGGAACGAGGCATAGAATGATGTATGACATTAGAACAGAGAATCCAGTTTACATTGATTGCCAACACTTCATTGACCGAAAACCGAGGAGCTTCAAACACCTGAAAACTCTGAAAAATCCAGGAGTGAAGCTTGGGGGCAGCGAAGCTTGAGTGGTGGCTGTGACGCCAAGACAGAGAAGCAATATTGTTTGGTTCCAGTGGCTCAATTGAGCAAACGCCAAAACGTGCAATGACTAATTTAACAAAGAGAGGTCGTGATGTTCAGGAATTGGGCTAAAAACTGCAAAAGCAATAGCCCCCCCAAAAAGCGATAACCTTGCAGAATCATGTCCTTTGCGTGACAGTACATGTTTGGCAGACACTCAAATAGATCTGGGTCATGGTCCTCCTTCGTGCACAACATTGATGGACCCTGGATCGATGCAACTGCGTGCATGTCATTGACCCTTCAAACATATGAAACCATATATGATATATATATATATGAATATATACATTCAAAAATAACAAACCAGCTGCTTCCAAGGGTTGCCCTGTCTGGAGACCTGTAAGTAGTGTGGAGATGTCCATTGGTGACCCCTTGGAAGCAGCTGGAATGTAATATGTTATAGATTGGGACTGTTTGGGACTGTCTAAGGTGGTAGTTCTGGAGCTGAACATCCCGAATCCACTTTGGAGAGTTGATGACATAATATTTAAGGGGCTACCGCCCGCGGCCGCCGACCCCAGAGCGGCCGCGGGTGTCAGTCCGAGCAACAGTGCCGGCAATCACGTGCTCACAACCGCCTGATCCGTGTCCCTCGAGATCCCTTATCACGGTGACCTCCTTTGAAATCATGGTTCGGCAACCTCGATTTTAGACATGCAGGAGGAAGGTCAGGGTATATATATTTGTTTTATTTTTTAAAAATTGGTATCATATTGTATCGACATGTCTGTACTACTTGGCGTTGTTGTTCCGTTCAACCTCAACCGTTTCTGACAACTACCTTCTTTTTCCATCGAAGCATCCGAAACTAATACAACAACCCAATCGTTACTAGAATATTTTAGCCGTTGGCAGGTCTAGGCTCCGCCTGGGGGTGGGCGCGAGTACCACTATGCAAGACTGGGGTTGCCTTGTTTTTCAACACCAGGTCCAGGGGGTGCGCAGGGGGGAGTCGAACCCGGGACCCCAGCCTGGACACCGCCTGTACCGCGAAAAAAACCTGACGGACCCACTCCTTTTCAAACATGACCAATGTCCAAAATTTGTTTAAAAAAGTTGTCCACAGTTTGTCAATTTTTCGCAAAGCGCTGGTTGATTGCCAAGCCCCAGCTATACCTCCAGCTATACCTAGACCGAACTATTCTCAGGAACACGGCGTCCCCGTTCCGCTCACGCTCACGCTCTCGGTACTAGAACGGGGTCGGCGGATGCCTTCTTTTTTGTGGGAAAGGAAGGTAACAAGAACATCCAATCCCTGCATCTATGCCTGTTTGCTTGTATGATCTTGTATGTTGGTTTTTTGTTTGTTGTTAACTTGTTTTGCTTGTCACCACTTCTTGACCTCTCTTTTCTGAGGTCTTCTTTTTTGGAAGGACCTGTTCTGAGTGCCTCCATTTTCTGGATGTCAAAGCCCAGACACGACCTAAGTGTGGACCGGCAGATTGACCTACATGGGGGATCATGGGGGTGTTTTCAGGCGTGAACTGATCGGCATATATGTACAGGGACATTGTAGGCATATTTCATATACCAGAACCCTCCAACAGGGCTCGTTATGCATGATGCGTGGCCATGGGGTTCTTCAAAGTTTATGTGCCTTTTGTTGTCCCAAATTTGCTTTTGGTTTTGCTGCTGTGCCATAGTGTTTCTGTACTCATGGTGGTATGAAAAGATCTCAAGTAAGATGCACCTGTGATGGCGTGGCCATGGGGGTTCCATGCCTGAACATCATCGCACCGATGCTTTCACGATGCCTCCCCGCAATGTAAATGGTGCTTCGGGCAACTGTTGTTGAGGTTTTGGGACTCGTGGTGCGTAATGCGTGGCCATGGTGTTCTTCAAAAGTGATGTGCCTTTTGTGATAGCTGATGTGCCTTTCTGAAAATTGCGTGGCCTTGCTGTGATGTGCCTTTCGTGAGCATGATGTGCCTTAGGGCCGCCGTTTGTAGTTGAGGGTTGATTGGACCCTAACAGGTCTCAATTGGTGACCTGTCGGAGGGTCCTCCATGGTATATATTCCATATATACATTTATAAAGAGTCTGGGTTCTACGGTATACCCCGAACCCTCCTGAAACCAGCTCCAGCTCATGCTCGCCACGTGCGTCACCGAAGGTTTTCCTTGGTCCTCTACATTTGCACCTTAATGTTCCTTCAGCTCTTTGCGACGAAGTTCCACTTCGTGGCGCAGCTGGCGAGCCTTGTGTTTTTTCTACTCCATATGCACTAGGTTCCTGAAATCAGGGGGCTCAACACCATGTCACATGTGAACACCATGTTTGGGTCGGACACCAACGGGTTCTGGGACCGTTTCTGATCAGAACGAGTAAACGGTCACTTCACCGGGCCGGATTTCAGGGCGCCGGATAGACAGAAGATCCGACCAGTGTCGACAGCTTTGGTGCGGATCGGATCCCAACGCCAGCCTGGGCGTACTAGTACTAGGTGGGTCAGTCTAACCACCTGTTTTGGGCGTCCGTCAGCCAGAGCCCAGCGGGACTGACCATCGAGTTCGAAGCGGGTGCCGAGAAGATGTCCCGACGTCCGTCGACTGGCCATGTCGGCCATGTCGACTGTGTGAGGATTGCACCAGGTCGATGACTCGGGTCGGCCCCCCCCCAATACGGTTGGTTTAGAATGGAACGAGGGCGGACCTCGTGTGCGCCAGGATGTGGATACCTTGGCAGAAGTGGGGCCGGACCAAGGCCAGCCATGGTTTGGGCTCTCAGAATGTCGCAAGATCGTCGACCTGCAAGACCCTGGTCATACATCAGAAAAGGAGGTCTGAAAGAACACCGCCGCAGCCGCTTTCCCAAGCATTTGCCTTTTTCACCTCCAACACTGCTCTTGGATTAAACCACCTTAACTTCCCCAGACCATTCATGTTTGTGGAAGATTTATATATGGGGATGGGTCGTTTTCAAGCGTGTTCTCCCGACCAGTGCACCATGGACAAACAACGACGACGATTCGTCCACCCGGTAGGTCGGCGGGTCGGTCTCCTTGTTTTGACCCACTGGCACAATATGATTTGTAGACACCAACTATATGCCTCATGTCAAACAAACCAAACATCACTGACTGGTGCGGCGCGAGTCCGATTTGGCACCATTTGGGAGTCAGTCATTCCATGTCAATTCCTCTCCACTTGGTTCCCTCGAAGATCCAGCCACCTCCACACCGGTCACACCGACACCGAGTCTTCCGCCCGAGTTCACCAAGGTGTCAAGGCACCGAGGCCCTGGAGGAGCCCTTCCGACAGGAGCTTCCAGCTCCGGCGGTCCGGTCAGAAGGGAGTTCTTCCAGAGCATCGCAGCGGAAAAGAGGATAAAAGAGGAAGATAATATAGGTGTTTGGTGTAGATGTCTTTGACAAATAAGATGTTATTACATTTGTGTGTTTTCGGTGTTTTTTCCCTAGGCGGCTCAAGTGCTGCAAGTGCACAGCATTCGTTTGGGCCAGTAGCAACATTCCTCCCGCAAACGGCATGGAGCACCAGCCACAAGCACCATTGCCACTGACCTTCGCCTCGTCTACGATGTCTACGACGCACCAAGAAGCCAGAATGCTGCTGCAACAGTGACCTGGATGTATTGTTTATTTATTGCTTTTTTAAGAGTGTCTCTTCTTCCGGAAAACACTGTTCTGTGAAGGTCCGCAGTTGAAGGTCGGCAATCGTTTGGTTTGAGATGTGTGAACTCGTTTGTTTGGTGCGGTGATGATGGAGATTACCATCGAGTTGGCGAAGTGAAAAAGTTTGTTTCCTTTGTTTTTCGGGTCATCTCAACTAGGGTCATCGACTTGCATGTAGCTTGTGTGTGCAACGGCAAGATGTTCACAAAAAGAGCAGAGAGCGCTGTGCGGGCATAAAGACTGGGATGTGTGAGGCTTCTCTTCTTTCACTTGTTCGCGACACTCTGAACACCTTCACAAAAAAAAACTCAATCGCATAATGTATACACAGTTCCGAGACCATTTTGCCAAACTTGTTCTAGAAGTCCTGACCTATAGTTGACGTTCATTGTTCTGAGTTGGTTTACCAACAGGGGGGCCTATAGCCATTACAGTGCTAGTTCAGAGCTGGTTCTTTAAAGTGTGGTAGACCCATGCAGACCCCAATGGCTTTAGACTTTGTTGGAGACAACCACAGTGGAAAAAAACGACCCAAAGCGCAGAGGTTGGAACACCTCACTTTATAAGCTTCCCCCTATGAGTTTTGTGGGGAGGGTGTGGACAAATATGATGGGCCTTGGCCGGGGAATGTGTTTATAAAGTGGGTTTTGTCAGTTTTTTCCTGGGAGGGTGTGGACAAATACGATGGGCCTTGGCAGGGGAAATGGTTTATAAAATGGGTTTGTCAGCTTTTTCCTGGGAGGGTGTGGACAAATACGATGGGCCTTGGAAGGGGAAATGATTTATAAAATGGTTTGTCGGCATTTTCCTGAGAGGGTGTGGACAAATACGATGGGCCTTGGCAGGGGAATGTGTTTAAACAATTGGTTTTGTCAGCTTTTTCC